CAAATTTGGACAATTGAATTGATATTATTTTTACAATAAATTTTGTTATCATGATTCAAAAGTAAATTTGATAATTTAAAATATAATATTATGATATGATATAAATATAATATAAAAATAAGATAAAAAGATTGATATAATTTAAAATTATAACAATAATTATATATAAATTTAAAAAAAATAAAAAAATTATATTTTAATATTAATATTGACATAAATTATGACACATAATTTTTATATAAAATATTATGTAAATATATAAATTTTAATATTTTACACGATATAAATATACGAATCGTCATATTTATTTAATAATAATATTTATATTTTTTTATTTTAAAAAATTAATTTTCTATTAATTGAACAAAAAAGATACAATTGAATCCAAATGTTTAAATATAATAAATGTACTTACTTTAAAATGATTTTGTAACGAAATTTAATAAACAATACTTAAGAAAAATTAAAAATTATTATTTTTTCCTAAATATAATTTTAATAAGTGCTACTGAACATCAATTAATATTTCACTTTCAAAGTTAAGTCTTAATTAATTGGTGTTTAGTTAGTATTGGATGCAACTGATCCATAAGTTAAAGAAATTAGAATAGCATGCACTGTGGTTCACCAAAAGTTTTATCTGGCTTCCTTCAAGCATTATTCCTTTCATCTCAATTTGTTTGTTTTATATTAATTATTTCAGAGTTAAAAAATTAATTTTAATATATTTAATATTAAAATAATTCTTTTTATAAAATTAAAAATCAAAAAAAATAAAATATAAATTTGAAATATCTTTAAAAATTAATTAAAAAAAAGAGAAAAAAATATTATTTATTTGGTTTTGATAAAAAATTTCACATCATTTAGGACAGATTCTTATTTATTAGTAAGAAAATCCAAATTTGAGAGAAAAAATCCGTTGATGGAATCGGAGAAAAGTGAGGAGCACAGCGGCGTTACCACTTCTACAAGTAAGCACTCAAAATTTGACACCCAAGAATTACGAACCAAATCGGCTACGGCGATTGCGGGGTTGAATATGTTATTTGGAAAAAACCAAAAGCAAAAGAAAAAGGGACCCACTCTTCATTTGCAATCCTAAAATGTTTTTTTTTTTTTTCCACTTCGAGAAGGGGCCGTAAGGAGACAGGTGGGTCCCTGATGGAATGACACGACTGGTCCACATCACTCCTTGAGATCCACGTCATTCCTCAACTTTGTCGTCCTTTCCACTCACTCACTTCACTTTGCCTTTCACATTAAACTATGGAGCTTTGATATTCTTACGGGGCCAACCCACCAAAATTCATGACTCCTAGTAAAAATTTTTTTTTTCTTAGTGCTCATGGATAATTATCATTTTCGGTATTTCTTTTATATATAATTTTTAAATTATAGCATTTTCTAATTAAATAAATAAATAATTTTAAAATTTAAATATATTAAAAAAAATTTTAATTCTTTTACATAGATTATTAGGGGACATTCAATGGTTGAAGCTCACAGTTAGGTAACCCAAGCCTCGTCCCCGTAGAAAATCTGTGGATTTGAATCTATTTTTTTCACTTGTTTCCAATAAAATTTGATTGCTAGTAGAATATGAGGTAATATTACACTGAAGCACGTCACTGTTTGACGTGACGGGATTTGATAATTTTACGGCGATGTGACAGCAAGGCCGACGTTTTCAACGTTCCTTAATCGCCCACCATCTATCTCTAAGATTTGGGATCTTTCTTTTCTGTTCAACAATAAATAAAAACTTTAGTTTGAGTTTAGTGGATTTTGAGACAAAATAATTATTTAGTCAAGATAATATAAAATTTTTAATTCAAAAGGCAGCGAAATATTTGACTTTTCTAATTATTACTACCTTACGTCATTATCAGATTAGTTTCCCAATTAATTAATTAAAAGTAATATGTTACAAAGCCATTCATATGATAAACCTCATCAATTTCTTTAATAAATTTGATTGGATCGACAAAAATAGAATATTTTATTAATAAAAATTTATTTAATAAATAATTTTTTAATTTAAATAAATTTTTATTAACGTCCAAAATATGTTTCAATCTTGAAAGGGCAACCTCTCTTATTCATAAAATTTAAACCTACTACTATCAGTTTGCCTTTATTCGGGGGAATGCTTACAAATACAGTTGTTACTTGTTTAGCATTTTATGGTGGAGTGGGATCTTATATTCGAGATTAGGTTTTAGGGTTCGGTTTCAATTATTTTCATATAATAAATTTTGGGACCAAACCAACCGTCCTTTTTAACTTACATTTCGCCATTTAATATGCTAAACTTTTTTTCCCCACTTAAATGACTTAAATTTCTTAAAGTCAACAATTTTGAGATGTAACATAATAATATTAGAGAATTGGTTAATTTCAATTGAAAAAATTTACTAAAAAAACAACCATTTTTTTTTACAATAAAAGAAACTCACTTAAAAATTTAGACATGTAAGAAACATAATAAATTAGAAATTAAGTTGTTTTTTTTTTTTTCATTACACTAAAGAAAAAATAAATGAGATTGATTAAATGCAGCAATTATTATATAAAAAAGACAATTAAAAAAATTCTTCATAAGAACGATGGATATCAAAATGTGAATAAAAATATTTATGACAAAAATTATGTACCATACGAAGAGAAAATAGCTATAAGAAAATCTGAATTAAAGTGTATTGGAAATTAATAAAACCTACAAAAATTCTTGAAGTTTCTTGAAGTTGAAGTTATGACATAGATGGGATTCAATAAGAATGCTGCAATAATTTGCTGAGTAGGTTGGTCCAAAAAGTAAAAGTGGTCCTGTCCAGAGGGAACAAACATTGTATTATGCATATATAGATGGAAAATAAAGCAAAACCTGTTTTTTTTCCATACCCAGCAGTGGAAAGAGTCTAAGATCCACAGTTGACTGGGAAACGGTAAAATGAGGTTTCAGTGGACCCCCCTTATAAAAGTGATTGATTATATATTCATGATAAATTAAAATATGTTATGTGATATAATATGAAATATAAAAAAATTACCAAAGATGATTTAAAATTTTTGTTAAATTTATATAAATTTAATAAAATTAAAAAATATATTTTTATATTTTTATATGAATATAAATTATAATATAAAATTTTTATGTAAAATATAATATAAATACATGACATAAATTATCAATATTTTATATAATATAAATATATAAATTATCAAATCTAATTATATATTTTTACTTAAGATCACCTTTCGCATTTCTCCTGTAATAACCTTTTTTTTTTTGCATATACTTTACTCTTTAACAATTAGGAGATTAAAGGATGAAAAATGCCTCTATATTATAATTTAAAATTTATTTAAGATTTTAATATTTTATTATAATTAATCAAAACTTTTTTATTTTGATTCAATTAAACTTAAAAAAAGAATTTAATTATGTGATAAAATTTAATTAATCAATCCATAAACTATAATCAATTAAACCCTTAAAAATATTTTAGATAGAAAAAGCAAGAGAAAATAGAAAAGAAAAAAAGAAGAACATTTTATTTTATTTATATATATATATTAATTGAGTCATATGATAAATTTTTATTTATTTTATTGATGTTATATAAAATTTTATTTTAATAAAAAAATTAACAGCATTAACTTTTTGTTTTAATAAATACTTAATTGAATGAAAATAAATATCAAAGAAATTAATTAATTGTAATAAAAAATTTAAATTAAAAAAATTAATTATAGTTAAAAAACTTTTTAATCTTTTAAACCAATTAGAATTATACAATAGTATTTTGTTCTTAAAAGTACAATTAATATTACATTATTGACCCAAAAATATTCATAGTGCTACTTATTATCATAGTTAATATTTATTATAAAATTTTATTTTTATTTAATTATTTAAAAAATTTTATATAAGCAAATTTGGACGTATAAGTATAAATTTTCTTTTTCATTTATAGTCAAATTTAAGTAACAAATGAAACCCAAATAATCGAATCAAACCAAACTTAAAACTTATTAATGCTCAGTTTAAACTTTACCCAAATTTCACTCAACTAGAACTATTGTCCATAGATCTATTGGCAGTATGGTGGGAGCCTCTTCCACCGTGCCCTAGCTAAACATACAAACATAGAGTGACTTGACTCCCGTCACATTATAGTAACCTAAGTTCCATAAATTTTTTTAGTACCACTTCCTGTATAATAAAGCAAAAAAAAAAAAAAAAAAAACACCAATTGAGATTTCCAACTCCAATCAATAAAATCTTGTTTATTTTTATGAGGCAATAGGCTATTTTTTTTCATAAAATTAAATTATATTTTAAATATTAATTATTACATGATAGACAGAATCTACAAAAATAATGGACACCAGTACCATTTTCATTTCCGTTCAATGTTGGTAATAAATAAAATTAAAAGAGAAGAACAATGGAATTTTAAAATTTTGAGATTTCATATTTAAATTTTATTGTGAGTGTCTTTAATTTTATTTAATATTAAATTTATATAATTTTGATTTATTTGTTTGATTTTTATTTTTTATATTTAAATTTATAAAAATGAATCAATTTATTAAAACTAACAATTTAATATTTTATTAATATATTTACTTAATTTTTATTATAATTAGTAGATTTATTTTTAAGTTCATATAAAAAATAAAATAATAAGTTATCTACAATTTAATTTTAATAAGATTTTAATTAATTAAAAGGGTAAAAATGAAAAATGAGAAAATAAATGGGCAAGTAAAACCAGGAAGTGTAACTGAGCCTTCTGTTCGTGCTGATTCATGTTTCATACGTTTGACCTCTTGATAGTCGTCGGACGAGTGCCCAGAATTCGCTAACCTGAGTTTGTTAACGAGAAGTCTATTTCCACACCCGCGAACAAAGAGCGTGGTTATCACATCCGAAACAAGAGCCCAAAACGGTCGGCGGTGTTCACGCGCCGGAGTCAAGTTGATTTTTTATAACCTTTAGCAAAACTGAATTACAGAAAATAACCGAAGTTAGTTGTGTTGCTTGCAACAAATTTAACCGCTTTCAAAACAAACCCACAAGCACTCTTCTGCCTGCACCCAACAGAAACACAGATAAAAAAGGATGAGAAGGTAAAAAAGTAAATGCATTTTTTTATACCTACGTTTCTCTTCTTGTTCATGTAAAAACAAAAAAGATTAAAACAGAAAGGATAAAAGAGTGATCGGAGTCAGAGGTTTTTTTTTTTTTTTTCTCATATTCTCAGTGTTAAACCCGACGACGAACGGAGGGATATGGGTCAACGGCGTTTGACCGTAGAAACGATTTCTAAGTAGGGTTAAGAATGTAATTTAGGGTTCCAAACTCTGTCCCAGGAGGTTCTTTTACTGTTTATAATATTCATTCGGTTCTGTCCTTGGTGTTGTTTTTGCTGTCTTTCCTTTTAAGGCCTTGTGTGCTTTCCCTCTTCTATATAAGGTCTCGGTTCTCTTTTTCATTTCCTCTCTCTATGAGTTAAAAAGATAGACTAACCAAGAGAGAGAAGGAAAGAAATGAGAACAAGACGAGGGCTTTGTTACCCTAAAGCCGATGTTTTTGTAGACAGGATAGTAGTGAAAAGGAGGGATTTCGCCGGCGATAACATGGGTTGCCGCAAACGGCAAAGATTCTCACCGGAGATTGCCGGAAAGAGTGATTTTTTCGATGCTTTACCCGATGATCTTATCATTTCTATACTGTGCAAACTGAGCTCTACCGCCCGTTGTCCTTCCGATTTAATCAACGTTTTGATTACGTACGTCGACGTTTCACTGGATTTTTTTGTTGCCTTGTTTTCGAGGGAAAAGTTTGGATTTTTTTTTTATTTTTCTTATGAATTTATTCATTTTGTGAAACAGATGCAAAAGACTAAATAGTTTGGCACTCAATTCTCTGGTATTATCCAAAGCCTCTCCAAAAATGTTTTCCATTAAAGCCAAAAGCTGGTCCGAGTCATCTCACGGGTTCTTGAAGACCTGCGCTGATGCCGGAAATGTTGAAGCTTGTTACACTCTTGGCATGGTGAGTTAGCTCGGAAAATATAATTTAATGTTTTTTTTTTCCTTTTTATCAAGTTTAGTGAACAACATAAACATTCTCTAACGATTTATGTTCCCCAAAAAAAAAAAAATCTCTTAACGATTGTATGATTTGCAACAGATTCGTTTTTACTGTTTACAAAATCGAGGGAGTGGAGCCTCTCTTATGGCTAAGGCGGCAATTAGCTCCCACGCGCCGGCGCTTTACTCCTTAGCTGTGATTCAGTTCAACGGCAGCGGCGGCTGTAAAAACGACAAGGACCTCAGAGCGGGTGTGGCTTTGTGCGCTCGAGCTGCTTTTCTTGGCCACGTCGATGCCCTGCGTGAGCTCGGTCACTGTCTGCAGGACGGGTACGGTGTCCGACAAAACATCGCCGAGGGCCGTCGACTTCTCGTCCAAGCCAACGCACGAGAACTAGCGGTGGTTTTATCATCACCAGCTGCTTCTAACATCTCTACGGGCTCTTGGCTCACATGGAGCCCACACCCAGTCCCGCACCCTAACCACGGTCATCCGACCGTGCCGGCATGCCCGTTGCTGAGTGATTTTGGATGCAATGTACCAGCGCCGGAGGCGCATCCGGCTAGCAGGTTCTTAGCGGAGTGGTTCGGCGCTCGGGGCGGGATACCCGGCCCGGGCTTGAGACTATGCTCGCACGTTGGTTGCGGTAGGCCGGAGACAAGAAAGCACGAGTTTCGCAGGTGTTCGGTTTGTGGAGCTGTGAATTACTGCTCACGCGCTTGCCAGGCGCTTGATTGGAAGCTTCGCCATAAAGCTGAGTGCGCGGCGGTGGAGCGGTGGCTCGATGAAGATGTGGATGGTGGAGAACCAAACGTGGCTGTTGATGGGAACGATGACGTAATCGCCGATAGTTAGAAACGGTTACGGCTATGTTAACGGCCCTTGGTAATTTATGTTTTAAGTCCATAGAAAATCAAAAAGCGGAAATGGAAAAAACGAGGTTATTTTTGTGGATTAAAACGGCAGAGTTTTACTACCCCTTTGATTGTATAGAGGAGTAAATCGAAGAAGTCAGGGGGCTTTTGGTTTTTTGTTTTTTTTTTTTCCTTGTTTCGTAAAAGACGTTTCCTTTTTGTACTATGGAGCAATGTTCGCCTTAATTTGGGTAAATCACAATCCCGCATCGGTAATTTTCTAGGGCTATATTTCCTATAATTTCTTCTTTTATCTTATAACGTTGGTTTGGTAACGGCATAAATTTGAAGGTTCCATTGCTTTAGATCCAATTGTCACCAACTTCCAGTTTTTAAATATAAAAGATTGTAAACAAAAAAATTTATAACTATTAAGATTTGAATTATAATTATTTAACTTTAATTTATAAATATATTAAATATTGTTTTTAAAATATGCCATATAAATTAAGTTAAATATAAAATCAAATTATCACATACTTTGTAACTTTCCAGTTGTCACATACTCTGAGAATGCTTAAATCAACTTTAAATCTTGTTGAAGAAAAGTTAGAAGCCCTAAAAAAGAAATAATAAAACAAAATTAGGTATGTCGATGGGATGAATAAACCAAACTACCATAAAATTTAGGTTTATGTGTAGGATACTGCCTTAACTTTGGGGTAAAGGCAATGAAATTCCTTGCCTTTTAATGTCAAAAGATGTGAAGAAATTCAAATTTCAAAAAAGAAAAAGGTCAGAGGAATTACTACATTTTTTCTAATGGCAGACAATGGGAAAGTATAACAATAGGTGATGAATTTACTTTCTCCAATGTATGGCATTTCATTTTTTTTTTGTTCTCAATCTTCTTTTTCCTCCTTGACTTGGTGTGGTCAAAAAGGGTGCCCATACACACCAAGAGACTGGCCAGAAGAAATTCAATAAAATTGAGAAAAGAAGAAAAAAAAAAGGAATATGGAAGTAGTGGGAGATATGCATTTTTGCAAGTGGAGGATGTTGTGGTAATGTGGTTGGTTTCTCTACTTTAAAATTGTCCAAAACCGTTCCTCAAATCAACCCCCAAAAAAACAAAATATATGGGCAAAAAAGTTAATCATGTGGTGGGGTTATTCTTTCTTTTATAGTCATTATTTTTTTTTCTTTATTTTTTCAAGATGAAGGAAAGGATTTTAACCGTCTTGTGATTTGAAATTAAAATTATTAAATGTTATATTTTAAAAATATTATATAAATCATTTAAATTATGTTTTTAATTTTTTACTATTAATTAAAAAAAAAAAAAAAAAACTCTTTCAAATGTTCACAAATGGGTGGAGAGGAGGTGGTCCAAGCCCAACCCATTTGGAGGACATTGATTGGAGTTCCAGCTGTAGTAGGAAGCAAAATTGGTAGTGTTGCGGCAGAAAAAGGAAATCCAAAACAAACGTACTTTCCTGTTAAGGGGGAGTTTGACTTTGTTCTCAATCCAAGTACGAACCAATATGTACTAAAAATGAACAAGATAGAGAACTTGGGTTTATAATGTTTTGATTTTTGGGAGTACATTTTGGGTTAAATTAAGCAAAACAGCAAATATTAGATTATCACATCTGACCAACCAAATCAAGATCAGCAGAACCATGACCACGCACCCTTTGATGCATTCTCAATCCAAATGCCCTCATTTTCTCTGCTTAAGCTACCGTTAGCTTGTGGATGGATGCTCACATTTTCTTCGACCAAGGAATTTGGATGTTGGGTTTTGACTTGTATTAATGTTAGGAAACATGAATGCACTCTAATTTTTTCAGGAGACTGTTGTGGTTGTTGGATGATTCAGTACACCAAACTTTGTTTAAGATTAACTTTCACGAAAACATGACAAATAAAGAATAAAAACCATGCTATAATTTCTTAAATTTTGAGTTTAAATGCTTTTATGTGTTAGAAAATTACTATTTGTCTGCAGATTTCAATTTATCTTATATCACAATAATTTATTAATTTGATTATAACGTCTCATTTTTTAATCAATCAAACATTATAAAAATATATTATATTTTATGTTAATTAGGTTTTTCTTTTGAAAGTTTCACTTACCATATCTTTTGCATGTGCATTATCACAAACAAAGTTATAAAAGTAAAGAAATAAAATATTTTTAACTACCGCTCATGCTCGTGAACTAAAAGTTTAATCTAATTATTTTATATAATTTTTTTATAAAGAGTAATATCAAATAAATTTGAGATTTAAATCTCAATATTTATAATTTATTTTTATTCTTAAACTCTAACATGTAAAAAAAAATTCTTATCCCTCATTTGAAAAATGCATAAATTTTGTTTAATTAGTAAATTATTACGTAAAGAATCCAAGTGACTGGTTATCTAATTCTTTAATTATGTATAAAGTAGTCCCTAATTTATGGTCCTGACTATGGTTTTGAAATATCAGGCCATGGATTGTTGTCAATCCGTAAAGGGTGGAGCCATTGTGTTTGTGCACTGAGCTGCACTAAGCTAGACTAGTTGAAAGCAGGTACTTAAATTGTGATCACAGTCGTATTTCTTATCACATGGCCATCATGATTTTTTTTTAAAAATAATTTATTATAAAATATAATTATTATAATAATAATTATAAAAAAATCTTGCTTTATAATTTTTAAAATAATTTATCACACTTTATATCTTTAATTTTTTGAAAAAATTATTCTTAATTTTTTTGAGATTATAATAAAAAATTCATATTGGATTTAATTACAAATATATGCTTGAGCAAATTTATATTAATATTAAACCAACCAAACATTAACAAAATAGAATACATTAAATGTCAAACATTCATATTTAATAATATTACAATAGTCATATAATGAATAAGGAATAACATCTTCAGTAACACTACAATAATTATATATTAAATTTATTATATAATAAATAACATCTTTAATAATTATATAAAAAATAATAATAACTTAATAAGATTGATCTAATAAAAAATTGGATAACAATATAAATATTAAAATAACAAAAAAATCATTACTAAATTTTTAAATATAAAATTATAAATTAATAAATCATTAAGATTTTAACAAGAAAAACCATTAAAATGGAATCCCATATTTTCAAAAAATAATAACAAATAAAATGAAACCCCCAGTCCACACCCCTCTCCGCTCCCCTAAAACCCTCTGTTTGTACGACGCCCCAGCCCCTAATTCTCAAAAGTCAAATCCCTAATTTGCAACCAGAATCAAGGCCGCCTCACGCCTTCACCCAGTCGGCCAGTCGCGCCGCCCCCGTTGCCTCACCCACACCCTTCCGACCTCCAGTCCAGCCGCCCCCAACCCGCCTCTTCACCTCACTCACGACCCACCCACACTTACAGTCAGAGAGATACAGAGAGACCTCTGTACAGTGTTCCTCTTCTTCTTCTCGTCTCTCTCTCTCACAAAGACCCAAACCCATATATGACATATAACCCTAACTCAGTAAAGTAAATCGTAAAACCTCCCCTCTCGGCCTCGATCGACAGTTGCAGCTTGCAAAGCAAGTTCAAGTGCTCAACGAATCAACAGCAATTTCCGGCAATTTTTTTAAAGGTAAATTTTTAACTTACTCTTACAGTCTTCTTACCATCAAATTACTTGTTCTTCAACATTTGATCTTGATTAAGATTGAAAATTTGGGTGAATTGAGTTAATTCAACTGAGCCTCTGCCCTCTAGAGTTTCTGCTGTCGTTTGTTTTTTATTTTGGTTATCAAGAGTTCTTACTTCTCAGTTCTCGGTTCTCACTTTCTAAGGTTAGATCATTGAGAGTAGTTGGGATTATGTCGACGGCGCCCAGACTTACTAAACGAATGAGTTTTGATAATGTTCAATTGAAACACATATAACATAAAGAATAATTTAGAATCTAAATAGTGTTATCTCATAGTTATAAATAAAAAAAATTGTTTGAAAAAAAAATAAAAACAACAAAAAAATTTTGACAATAAAAGAATAACCATATATTTTTTTATTTGAATATTGCTTTTGATATAATCATTAAGAAGACTCTTCATTTAATGTTAAAAAAAAAAAGAGGAAACAAATCCTCTAAAAATAGGTTGGATTGTTAGTTATTCAATCACCCTTTCACTATGAAATGTAGGTTAACTCAATTTGTAACTTTATTGAGATACAATAATTTAAAATATAATATAAAAATAATATAATTTAAAATTTTATTAATAATTATATTTAAATTTAATAAAATTAAAAAATATATTTTATATTTTTACTTGAATATAAATTATAGTACGTAATTTTTATATAAAATATTATATAAATATATAAATTTTAATATTTTATATTATTAGAATAGTCATGTTCATATAAGTGGGTCGCTGTTCGAATTCGGTCAATGTCTTTTTTGACTGACTAATCCCGCTTACCGAATTAAAATTTGATTAAATGCAAAATATGAACGGCCCTACTCCACCGCAATTAACTAAGCCCAATTATAAATGTTTCTTCCGTACCTACAAATGTTGGTCCAAATCAAGAACTATTGAGCTGTAGCCCAAATGACTACCTAACTAGTACGACTATGCTTCATTTAGTTTGGGTGTCTTGGGCCTTCTTTGTCAACCTAATTTAACTCAAAAATAGGCAGTCCATGCCTCTTGCCTTCACTACTTGCTGTCGCTGATGGACACCAGCCGCGGTGTTTTCATTCAAAGATTGCGATTTCTTATTTTCTTTTTCATTTTTCGTTGAATTTACTTTTTTTTTTTTCTAATTTCTGTATTACTTTTCTTTTTATTTTGTTTTTGAGAAGGAATTTCCATTTTTGTTCTGAGGAAGCTTGAAGGAAGAAAAATGGAGACGAATAGGAACATGGTAGAAGAGGAAGCAAATTGCTCAATTCCAAATGGTGGCCCCATTTATATTCCGAATCTCATTAGTCATCTCACCAGCGTTCCTGAGTTTCAAAACTCACTTCTTCAACAACTCCATGTACTAAATTCTTTTACATTTAGATTATGAAACTTTTCCCCTTTAAAATCATGTCTTTTACAATACTCTGCTATGGGTTACCTTTAGGTTTTTTTTTTTTTTTTCAGTTTCCTCTTTTAGTCTTCATTGTTACTTCTCTCTATGCACTTCTGTTTTTACGATAACTTTTTGGGCTGTTTATAGGAATTAGATGTTGAATTGGATTCCTTTCAAATTGCTGAGTATGAGGATATTTGGTTAGTATTACTCCATCTTCATTTTAATTTTGTTTCTTCTCTCCTAAAACAATGTACTCACGGCATCTCTGTCTATCTTATGATCCTGATTCATTTTTACTATTAATTCTACTCTTTTCAGTGTTGATGACCTTAAAATTATTAAGGAGGAAGAGTTAGTAGAAATGGCTCTCAAGGAAGCGTTTAAGGTATGTGCTGATATTATAATAAAGGATAGTATCTAGTACTACAGCTAGTATTGCACTAGTTTAGTTTGTTTTCTGATTTATTTATGGGTTTCATTGCAGGAGGATGAGGATGAGCATGCTGCAAATGCTGCTCAAGTTTTAGAAAATGGCTCCAATTTGGGGTGAGCTATACGTGTATTTCTTGTCAATCATCTTTACGTTTTCAATTGATCTAAAATGCAGCTCATATTAAAAAATGCTTTTGGATTTCTTCGAATGTATTTTCATGATTTTGGGATTTCTATAATGATTTTCACTTCCTCCTTTATCCTTGAGTAACCACCTTTTACTTTTGTGTCTCTTAGCTTATGTTATTTCTTTACTTCTTAGCTATAGATAGGGATCCTCAATTTTTTCAGAGCGATATCAATCCATTTTCCAGCTTTAGTTTTACTCACTTGTACAATTTATGCAGCAGCAATCGTAGAAAATCTAGAAACAAACATGCAAATCTAGAGAGCTCCGTAGTCGAGAATGCTTCAACTTCTATTGAGTCCTTAAATGGGTGTCCTTCTAATACTAGTTTGGATGGAGCTGCAATGGAAAGGAAAAATGGCTCAAAGAATCGAAAGAGAAGGAAAATGAATAATCACCTTGTTGAAGTATGGTACTGGTCATGTTGAATTTCTCTTACATTAAAGTATTATGATCTAATCATATTGACTATTATATTATTATTTTATTCTTATTTAATTATGTAGAAATTTGACGTTTTGAAATTTTAAATTGTTTGCTGTTCCTGCTAAATGTTTAGTTTTCTAGCTTGATGATTTGTATCTTTGTTGTGTGTAAAGTCTAAATGTGAATTGTTTTCTCATCATTTGCTTTCTTGGCAAGTATATCGTTTTAATATTGTTTCTATTGAGTCCTAAAGGAACCCTATCAAACATATCTTATAATCTTTGTTTCCATTTCCTTCTTAACAAATTTCTTGCTGTTGCATTTCCAGAATACATACATCAAAAAGGTGGAGGAACTTGCAAAGATTAAACAAAAGCAGGATGAAGACAAAGCAACAGCAAGGCTACATTCTTTGAAGTTTGTGTTGAGATCTGTCTGTGATATTCTCTAACTGATAAACCCTTTCTGATCCCTGCTAACTGTTGTCCATAAATTTGGTTCAGTGCCATCAGCAAGATCAGTGATTGTGCCATTCCATCCTCCGATAAAATTGAAAGGATGAAATCCCTCCGGTCTATGAATTCCTCTGGAAAGGTTTGTCAAAAGGTTCCTTTGTGTATTTATTGCGGATGGTCTTTTCTAAATTTAACTTTGAAAATCTGAAGTTGAGCTCAAAGGTGCTTTAAGATTTTTCTTGTATTGACACCTTTTTGTTATGAAGCATTGGTTAATTCTGTGATTCTATTATGCCATTGACTTGTTTAATACTGTGATAAATCTAGAATGCTTCACAATATATGTTACTATATGACATTTACATCTAAGTACTAAACAGACTTGAGTTTTAAGAACACTTTCTCTAATAAGAGGAGTTTGTGGATGGCCTTATAAATGTAGTGTTGGAATTTATTACATTGATATTCTTATTTCACTTTGTTCTTTAAGAGAAGAAATTGAATTGATAATAAATTCAACTTGTGTTCCAATTCAAACCTTTGGATACCTGCCTCTATGGTTTGAATAAAATTTATTTGCTGTGATCATTTAAGATAACACAAGGATGGCAATCTTTAAGAGGTTCTGAGGCAAGTCAATTTTAGGACTGAAGCTTGGGTTTATTGTTTTCATTCTTCATGATACTTAAGTATTCTTTCATATTTTCCTTCTGATGAATGACAGGTGAAGTCAGTGGATGCTGAGGAGCACATACCAGTTTTACACCCTGAAGTTGTTCTTTGTGTTGAGGTCTACCATAACATACGAAAATGGTCAAAGGTGAGGTATTTTGCCTCTCATTTCTAAATCACATAGCTGTTTGTATCGGATTTTTATTTTTCTTTTCTTCTAATCCACTTATATTTGTTACTAATGAGTTACCAGATAATAAGCTTCTGCTTGGTTTATTTCTGAGAGTATTCAGTAGATGAAATCAATAAGGTTTTATTATATGCTTGAAAATACCTTAGCATATATAAGAACCATCAAAAATTAAGTTCTCTTAGTTTGTATAATGTTGCTAACACTCAACTTTTACAGTATTATTTCTTTAACCATTTAATCTTTTGCCCCTTTCATCTGCTGGTATTAACATCTTCTTGAATTGTTGTAGATCCAAGAGTTCTTGGTCTTGGGCCATCAAACCTTGACTGAACTTAAGGACAAGATATATTGCCTGACAGACCAGGTGATGCAGAAGGCTGGCCAGCATGATCCTTCTGGATATTTCCTTATAGAAGTAAGAAACCCGATTCACTCAGGACATTGTCCCTGTGGAGAATTTTTTTTTTTTTTGTTAATTATAGTATCTAATTGACTGTTATAATTCTGCAGGATATATTTTTCAATGATTTGAGAGATTCCTCTGCTATAGATTACAGTAAAACTATATTTGATTGGCTTAGAAACTCTAGGGATGATGCTCTTAAAAAATGGGAAAGCATTGTAACTGGTGAGTTGCAACAAAAGCAAAGAGCAATTTTAGGCAGTGTAGAAGCTTCAAGATTGCCCCACTTCAAAGCTGTTGACATGCACAAGACGCGGTTTTGTGACTTCAGGTTTCAACTCGGTGCTGGATATCTCTATTGTCATCAGGTACAGCTTTTTATTGTTCCCTACTTTCATTAACTTCTAAAGTAGATGTATTCATCTTATCAATTTGTTTTGTCTTGATATCTCTGCTATGTTGGTAGACTAGATGTCATTTTCCAAATCAATGATCAAAATTGGATTATCGGTTTAAGATATTGAATTTCTATCTGGTATTAAACGATGATTGTGCCCTTTGATGTGGGTTAGATCAACTTTTTGTTTGATGGAATCAATTGGTACAGGGTGACTGCAAGCACACAATCGTGATTAGGGACATGAGGTTGATTCATTCCGAGGATGTACAAAATCGAGCAGCTTATCCGATACTCATCTTTCAACTAAAACCCCGTGTTCAGAAATGCCATGTATGTAACATTACCAGAGCTACAAAAGTAACTGTCGATGACAAGTGGGCGAGGGAGAACCCTTGTTATTTCTGTGATTATTGCTATTCCCTTCTCCACTCCAACGATGAGTCTCCTCTATATGCCGAATTTTCTGTGTATGATTATGTTCATGATTAGATGTCCAATGTTCATTGTAAGGATTCTATTAATTTACTGGTGGAATACCCAAAAATAAGTAAATTCATGTTTTTAATCCCTAGCCAAAGCCCCTGTATCTTTATTATATATGTATAAATTGTATAACCTGTCATTGGTCATTTCTGTTGTTTCTATTATAATTTTCTATAATATCAAAATTGCACTATCATATACTATTTTTTATTAAATGGTCATGGATTGTTAGATTCTGATTAACACATCCTCTTTTTGGGTAAATTCAAACAAATTTATTTTTCAACTTCTTGAACGAATTCAAACCAACCATCTTGGTACTAACTTGTACCATTTGGAATTGAGCAAACACAACCTAGGAGGGATTGTTACTTAAGACAGCAGTTTGATAAGATCTAAGAGTATGTGGAAAAGCATGTGGCTGGATGATATGATTAGGGACAAAAAATGACATCATTTATAAGTAGACAAAGCACCAAAAAGGACAAAATTCACATTGATTCTCACCTTTCAAAGAAATAAAACCAAAGCCCAAATTTACAATGGCAAACTATCACACTATCCACATTACCCCACACCACAATAACACCCACCAACCACTTCTAGATTTCTCCAGACTAGAGACAACCATCCCTAATCTGAATCTGGCTCATCAACAGGTATCAAAGGCGGATAGTCAACCACAGAATTACCTTTCCCACTGTTGTCCTTAACTACGTGGTTGTACTTCTCCGACAAATTTGTAGCTGTGGGAATAACTTTCTCGGCCACCGAGTGGAAAGCTGAATTATTATTCAATTTAACCCATAACTTGGTTGAGGTCGCCAGAACAAACTGCTTCAACTCAGCTGCGGCGTAGTGCAAAGCTCCTCGCGCTCCGTTGGTTCGAGCCTCACCAACTAATTTCTGAGCCTTTTGTGCTGCCTTGTGAACCAAATCTTGGGCTTGGCTAACCACTTGCTTAGCTGCTGCTGGTCCATGCTCATCAAATTTGTGTGAAGCCTCATCTACCTGCAGTTATTATAATCAATCCGGTCTTTAAATTCAGAAACTTTTGATCCAAACAGGGTGTTATAAAAACCGTTACCTTCTTATCAAGAAAGCCAAGAAGATGATCGGGAACGTCCTTAAATTTCTCGTAGACGGGAACCACGACGGTAGTAACGGCGCCCTCGACGGTCCCAACCGTGGATTTCAATGGCCCGGAGTTCTGTTTGGCGTACTCGTAAAGGTTCGACAGGCAAACCAGCGCGTGGATCGCAGCCACCCTCACGAAGGATAGGTGCTTTAGGTCTTGATTCTTGTTCTCAAACTCTACCTGCTAAAAGTGTAATAAAAGAAAAAGAAAGCCGTAACGTTTGCAAAGCACAGAAAAGGAGAAGACCAAGAAACAAGAACAAAGGGAAAAAATGGAAATTAATACCTTCTCCATGGTTGTGAGCCTTTTGATCTAAGATTATTGCTTGAGTTTTTTTTTTTCAGTTTTCTGAAATGCGCGAGTGTGTTTTGGCAAAGGGACTTGCGCTTTATTTTATAGAAGGTTAATGTTAAGTAAAGTATAACGTCTTATCCTAATTTTAAAACCGCTTAAGGCGTTATTTGAATTATAAATTTATTAATTAATATAATATTAAAAGTTATTTATATATTGTATATCAGTATTTAAAATTAATTATATTAAAAATAAATATTATACTAATTAAATTTTTTAATTTAAATATTATATTAAATATTTCACAATAATTCTTTTATAAATAAACATACAAAATTCAATTGATACAAAATTAGAGCTCGTGAGTTATCATGGTTAGATTTAATAATTTATATATTTATATAATTTAAAATAATAAAAATATTTATATTAATATTATATTTTATATAAAATTTATGTACCATAATTAATATTGACATAAAAAATACAAAATACATATTTTTGTTTTAATTAAATTCATATATTTTTTGTTAAAATTTTATCTTATGTCACTTTTATATATTTTTACGTATAATTTTTATGTAATGTCATTATATTATATTTTGAAATGCTTTGTTTAATTGCGAGCAAAATTTTTTTTATTTTATCAAATATATTCATTGTATTTCTATTTTGCAAAAAAAAAAAAAGTGAGTTATTTAAAGAATGAAATTTAAAATATTATTTATTAAATATATAAAAAAGAGAAAAAAATTCAAAACTGAAAAAAAAAACACACGACATATCTTTAGCATAAGGGAATCTAACAAAAAAATTCTAAAAGATTAATTAAGTTTTTCTGAAAATTAAAAAAAAATGATATCAAATGGATTCGTAAAAATATATATTAAACATTTTAAAAAATAAATAAAAAGCGCGGCACAAAAAAAAATTTTAAAACGCAAAGAAAAGGCGGATCTCACAAAAAATAAAATAAAAAATTATATCAAAAATTAAAAAAATTATGAATTATTAAAATATTAAAAAATATATAAAAAAAAAACTCAACAATAAGTGGGTTTCACCGCGTAATAAACCTTTAATATCAAGTGAGTTACTATAAAATATAATTTAAAATTTATTTATTAAATATATAAAAAAAATAAAACCGAAAAAAAAAAAAACTCACCAATACCCTTGGTGTCAAGTGAGTTTAAATATATATATATATATATAACATCAATTAAATTTATGAAAAAGTTTATCATCAAGTGAATAAAAAATTATATATTAAACATTAAAAAAAAAAACACGGGACAAAGAAAAAAAAAGCGAATCCCACACGCTAATAAAAAAATTAAAGCACACAGTTAAAAAAATCATGAACCATTAAAACAAAAAAATTGAAAATGAAAAAACAAAACAAAAAGTGGATCTTAGAAAATAATAAGGGGCCATTAAAAAAAATAAAATAGATAAAAAATAAATCTTAGAAAAATAAAAAATAGACACAACTATAATAAAATATAAAAAATAATAAAAGGAATATATAAAATATAAAAATAATTTTTTAAAAAAATAAATAAAAATGAGAAAAACGATGTGGGTCCTATTGTAAAAAGGGTTTTTTAAATAAAATATATAAAATATTTTAAAAAAAGTGGATCCTACAATAAAGTTTCGAGCTCCACTGAATTTGTTTTTATTATGAAACATATAATAAAAAAATGAGTAGGTTTCACTGTTTAAAATATTTTTTATAATTAAAGAAATTAAGCAGTCAACGCATGGTCTATACAGTACCAATCGATCTACAATATTTATATAATAGATATAAAAAGTAAAAAAACATAAAATATAAAAAATAAAATGTTCAAAAATCTAATTAAGGGAAAAATAGATTTCACCATTCAAAAAATAGTAAGCTCCGAAAAAATAAATTTATAATATTATACATTTAAAAAATTTAAAAAGGAAAACATTAAATATTAAAAAGTCAAAAAAGATAAAAATAATAAGTTAAATTTAAAAGTAATAAAAATTAATTTAATAATATTTATATTAAAAGAAAAAAGAAAAAAGAAAGTTGGTTCACAAAAAAGTTAGGAAGACCTATTTGAAGAAAATTAATTTAATAATTTAAAAACAAAAAATGGAAAACGAAAAAAAAGGACGGAGAAGTGGGTCCCACACAAAATGTTGACTCCGCTTGAAAAATAATTTAACAATAAAAACCAAAAACAAATAAAAAAAGGGGAAGTGACATGTGGCAGACCGTGCCGCCGTACATCTGCAATATTTGTATAGAAGATGTGTCTAACGGTAATGGTGCAAGTGACAGTGAGCCTTAGACAAAGGTTTCTCGTAGAAAAAAAAGCGACCATTCTCGTATTTCGTCATGTTTGTGACAAATAAAACATGAGATGAAGACACTATATAAATTATTAAAAAATAAATATTATAAATTATTAAATAAATTAAAATTTTAAATATAAATATAATTTATTTATTATATATATTACATATGATATAATATAATTAAAAATTTTAAAATTAATTTTTATATGTTTTTTAAAAATTAATAAAAAATAACTCGACATGATTAAATATAATTAATATAATTAAATACATTAGAAAGGACTAATTTCAATATAACATATTTATAATTTATTTAAATAAATTTTTTTATTAATAGTATAATTTTGATATAAATATAAATAAAATAATAACTCTATAATTTACATTCAAATTAAAATTTTAAATGTACCATCCAATTCTAACTTTATTGCCCAAAATTTTTTTTCTTTTGAAAAGTTTACAAGCTAAGATAATGATAACTGTTGTTTTGAAAATAAAATGGGTTGCCATCCTATTTTTGCCACTTGTCGACAATAAACAGTCAACAGATTGTCATTTCTTAATTCATGAGCCACTGCCCTTGTTCAGTCTTTTTTATATTGAGAACGACATGGCCATGCCAATGACTTCCTTCACATGAATCTCTGCTACATTTGCACATAAATCTCACCTTTGGGTAAAAAATATTTACCATCTATCAAATCACAAAACATAGCACTAGAAAGGCTGCATTGGTAAATTCTCATTTACTAATACATCATTTTGGGAGATAAAAATTGAAATAAAGCAGTTGATATTTGCACTTTGGTTACCAGAGTCATCGGTAGAGAATGGGAGCGGTAACTTGTCTATTATTTACTTGAAAAGGAAATTCACCAACCAATCTTGAGTTTGGTTCACCCATTGGCGTTACATTCCCCATTCCTTTCAAACAGCTTGAGATTTCTGGCGCTTCGTGTACTGTAGGATAGGCTCCTTGACCTGCCAAAGAATGAAAAGGGCAAAAGTGCCAATATATGAGGATAGAATTCTAGTAACCGCTGTTGGAGCTTCATGCGGTCAGTAAACTACAAGGTATTTAAAGCGGTATACCGTGCTTGCTTTCCTGGCTCGCTTGTCTTGGGATGTTCTACTACACACCACAATGTCTACCTCATCGCAGTTTCCATTTACTCTGTTGGTCTCACATCCTGGGACAAAGCTCTCCCTTGAAGCTATTGGCTAGACAATTCCAAGGGAAGTATCTTAGTTAGCTCTGCACAATACTGTCAAATCAGACTAAAAACTTGCTATGATGATTCCAATTTTGGCACTAACCTCAGTCCTGCTTATGGGGGTGTTTCCATTATCCCACGTCTTTGAGATAGTCTGCTCACTTCTGATTGCACCTTTTTGGTTTATGTCAGATCGGCCCCTCATGCGTGTGAGATCTGAACCAATGGACCGGAGGACACCGCATGTAGACGTATCCCTGTTGTTGCTTCCTAATAAATAGAGAAATATGTTCCTAGTTCGAAACTTACATTCTCGGCTAAACTCTTGACAATAGGAAATAGGTTCAATGGAGTACCAGTTGTAGGAAATTCCAGATGATTGGTCTTGTTATGTGGTTCATGGGCATCCACATCCTGCTCCATTAGGAAGAGTTGGAGAATAATTAAATATTATGCAGAAGATGCATTGTAGGACAAGTAACAAAATTAATCATCACCATAGCATCATTGTTTAAGGCTCTCTTGATTTCCAGTAGCTTTTTCTCAGTCAGAATGGAGTGGATGACACGCTTACCTGTGTTAACAATGGATCGACGACAAAGTAAATTTACCAGGATTAATCCTGCAAAATCATGTCGAGCACATGCTTTACTAAGGTGGCAACACATACCTAGCCTACGGTTGCCTTTAGCTGCAAGAAAACCATCTCGAATCATCTTATTTATAAGTCTTCGAACAACAGTCTGATTTGCGTGTCCGTCCAGCTTGTTCTGAAGCTTTGCAACCGACACATATTTCATTGGAAGAGCATGATACAAAGCCTAAAGTTACAATAGTGAAGTCAGAATGTGCCATAGGAGTCATAGTCACAACTCACAAGATTGCTATGGGCTATGATATATTTGCAAGCTAAAAAGACAACAATTAGGCAACGCTATGCAATTCGTAACTAAGAATCTCCGTGCAATTCGTAACTAAGAATCCTAATAACAATTTGGTTGTAGTTATAAAATGTGAAAAAAGGCATACCAAAACAGTGCAAAACAATATGTTTCAGATTGTAACAGATCATACAATTGGCCAAAAGACAGTTAAGCTTCTTATTGATCAGTCAGAAAATATAAACAGAACCAAACTCGACTACCTTCAAATACATGTGATCATCAACCTTTGGAGATCCCTGAACAATCTGGACTTCACCATCCATTTCTTCTTTAATTGTTAACTCATATTCAGACTTCTGGCATTCTCGTTCATCAGATCAAGGAGAGTGATAGAAAGCAGGAAACGAGGATACACATTTTAAATTAAGCCCAAAAGAAAATAACCTTCAGATTGTTTATGATGTAGCTGTCTTTTCCAGCGCTTGATAAAACGCCTTTCTTTACTAGTTTGTCCACTATTTCTGAAATCAATCAAAAGAAATTAAAAACATTAGCGGCCAAAAAATAGAAAAATTATAGAAGTTGAAATCCAGCACAGTAGTGTACTCCCTTTCTGTTAAAACTTTAATATGGACCACCAAATCTTTCATTTACCTTCAGTCAAAACCTGTATTTGTGCAACATAGTATGATTGAAGTCTGAAATATTATGAAAATAAGAATGGATAAAGAAACTGCGGGATATAAAAAACAAAACTACCCTACTAATTTCTGGCCCCATCGGTCAAAAATAAATTTAGGAGAATAAAATAGCACCCTTACCACTGAGATATCTGGGAAATTTGAGAGAACATCAGTAAGTTCAACAGTATCAAGATGATGATTATTGATCCAATCTTTCACCCTTGTCAATTGTTTTTCATCTTCCATGGGATCTTGAGTATCATCTATGCGACGGGTAAGAGATTATTTGTTGTAAACGAACCCAGCCCAGATATTATCGAAGAACTTAAAGAGTAAGAGGTAAGGTGGGAGGAAAAGTGAGAAAACCATTAATGGCTTTTTCGTCATCTTATCAATTTCAAGGGATACAATGTCTGACTCCTTGTTGATAATTTTAAAATGTTACCTTCATCATCCATGCTATTATCTTCTTCTGGTCGTTGCTTATCTGGCAGAATAATCATTCTTACTCGCTGATCAAATTCTCCCAATAATAACTTATAGGAACAAGATAGGGGGATAGAATGACTAGTAGGATCTCTCAAACAATTTAATTACCTACTGGTAACACAATAAATGGGTCTTCCTGTGATTCATTAACCTGAAATCAGGAGCAAAAAATTAACAACACCTCAACACAACTCAATTTATTTTATCATTTGGTTACATGCAAGTGCTATACATGCTTTCAAGGGCAATGGTTCATAAATTATACTGTCATTTTACCTCACTATCAGAGTCAGAAGATTCATCTTTTTGAACAGAGTCAGCACCTAGGCTTTCTTCATCATCTCGAATGTCATCATTTTCATTCCCACAAGGATCAAGTACACTTTTCACCTGTATAAGTTACCAGTTATGAAAACTTTGATTAATATACGAACCACAATCTGATCCTAGCATCCAAAAGCCTTGAACCCTAACCTTGAGAGCTAACACAAAGTGCTTGCTGTTGACATTTCCAACCTCCATCTTTAAAGGATTTTTGGTCCACGGGTTATGAGCTTCCTCTTCCGTGCAGCCTCTAAAGAATGGAGGCTGATAGTCCAGTGGCTGTGTTTGGTGAAATTAATGCGTTACCGTCTTTGTTATAGTTGAATACTTTCATTTGGAGAAGAGAAAAGAATCTAAAAAACTTTGCCAAAACAGTTCTATGAAACAGGAAAAATGACCACATAGACAAAAACAACGTTCCCTGAGTTCCAATGCATTTCGTAAATAATTTACCATCCCTTATTGAACAATTGGAAAGTTTTAAATAAAATTAGCCACCAAGTTCAGGAACAGGAAACCAAGCCTTCAGGAGGAAAATAAGAAAGGTATACCGTCACATCATCATAGTAGAAGAGTTTCATCAATATAGTACGCTGAAACAGAAGATAGAACAAATTTATCGCAATTAACAACAATAAATATGGTTCAAAGTAAAATATAACATTTAAAAAGCTTAATTGCTAAAATTTACCTCTTCAGGCATCCTATCCAGAGTTCTCATCAACTGAACGAGAGTACGGACCATTTTACAAGCAGAACTCCTGAAATTTAACAATATCACAGAAGTTACAACTTAAAAAGGGCAATCTCCAAAATTCCAAACAATAATAGACAGAAAATTATACTATTTTGAATGAATCGTATTTACATCACCTCATTTGATTGGGAGTAACTTCAGTGGCGGAGTTGCACTTGAATGTCCCCCCTTGTTTCTTGTTTCCAGTGCGATTAATATTCATCGAAACCTCTTGGCTATCAGAATTGGAATAACTAAAAGAAACTGCATTGAGAAGGCAGATTCAATTTGTTAAATAAAGAATTGAACCACTAAAGCTTTGAAAATGATTGTGGAAAGGGTGACTCAAAAACTTTACATGAGTATTCCTCAATCATTACTCCATCTGTTGATTCGCATATGCAGAACAATAGTGTTTTCAGGTATTTTTTCTGTAATGCATCGTAGACACCTGAGAAGAAAAGATAAATTAAATAATTAAAATCAAGGGGGCAAAAACAATGACAAAAGAAATTTTTTAAAAAAAAGTGAAGAATCAGATGAAAACAACTTGCCTTTCTCCATCCAATCAATCAGTCTACGAGACTCTGCATCCAACGGCATTAGCTTCTTGATCTTCATCTCTGTTGATAATTATCGCAATTTTTTAAAATAATTATCCAAACGGATTTTGGAAATTTTAAAATGAAATTTGAGAAAATCTTAGAGGAAAAGCTAACCTAAAGCAGGAATGGATTTATCGTTGAAATACTTTTCGGGAAAAAGGCCTCTGACATAGCTAATATTGAATATAGCAATACGAAGCAAGTTCCTCGTCTGTTCAGAGAAAAAACAATCAAGAAAAATGAGATCAACTTAAAAATATTTATTATCAAAGCTTCAATTTCAAAAGCTCCTAGGTCTAACTATTTGACAATAAAATAAGAAAATCTGATCCATTTTGCAGCAAAATTCACTAGAAAAAAAAAAAAGAAAACAAAAGGATATTTTCTCGTGAAGTTGGAGATGAAATAAAAGAAAACAAAATTTAAAGAACATAAACGGCGAGCTTAATTGTACAGCTCAAGTCACAAATTATTGGAAAACAGACTAGAGATGACCAATCATTGTCAGCCTTGCGCAAAAACTTCATCAAAGTTACAAAGCGAACGCAAAATGTTCAGATCTGAAGTATATTAGGTGCATATAAAAGCGTTTAAGATACGAGTTTCTTAGAATGGTTAAATTTCAGCGAGAAAACGAGAAGGGAGATTTTGATTTCTGCCTATGTTGCATTTATCAGAAAGACTATGATCGGCAAATTTAAATTTTGAAGGGGAAAAAAAAAGAACTACAATCCAAACGAACATGTAAAAACAGAAAACAATTAACCAAATTAGTATAAAACAGAGAACAAGCAAACTCGATGCTGTATTGAGCAATCAAATAAAGGCCAAGAAAAAATTGAGCTAAAACTGGATGATTTGAAATTGATTACCAGAAGAAGCGAGTCCTGCTCGGTGATCTCTGCTTCTTTAACTTGTTGTGCAACAACCTGAAACAATAAGCCAATAAAAGTTGAAACAAGACTGAACTATAAAACAGAGAATATAAAGAAAACGAGAGACCGTGAAGATGAACCGAAAATGAATGAATTCAAAGGGATTTCAAAGCTCACCATTGTTGTAGAATTCTAAGAGACAGAAGGAGAATTCGGAGAGAAAACTAAAGACCGTTTGGCTTGGAAATTTGAATCAAATTAGAGAAAAAAAAAATTGTAGGAATGGCGGGAGAGAAATGAAGTTGAAGAGGCGTTACTCATAATAGATCGGCAAATGGAATTTAACCAAGGTTGTGCGATGAATGAGGGTTGAAATTGTCATTGTACATAAATACTAAGGGTGTTTTGGTCTTAGAGAACTGACGTGGTAGCTTCTACCTGGCTCATATGTCATCGACTAAGCACTCATTGTGTGTTGCCGCATTGGATCCACTTTTCAAACGGACGTCTCAAGAAAAACGAGAAACGGTTACATGAAAAATTCACGTTGGTTCAGCTCCAGAAGAGTTGCAACTCACAAGTGAGCTCGCTCATGAAGCTTTTGTCACCATTTTAAAAACCAAAAAGCATTTTACGATCAAGTCTCCCAAAAATTCTCAAACGTTTTTCAAATAATGGTATTGATACTATTGGAGCATAAAATGTTTTCGAAGAATGTATTAATACTATTAGAAATATAAATAAATTATACTGTTCAAATTAGATTCGATAATTACTTAAATATAATTTATTTACTGTTAAATTAAATTCAAGCTTAATTATTTAAATAATAAATCAAATTGAATACTATAAAGAAATTCACAAATTTAATCAAAATTTTATTTTATAACATAGTTAATATATATTTATGTAAATAAATAATGAAAATGTAATATTTATATTCACATCTTACCGAACTTAACAATCAAAACTCGATAAATTAAAATAAATTATAATCCAAACTCGACCATGCAAAGAATCAAGGAAATTAAATTATATGTCAAACTCAAGCACAAAAATTAGAATAAATTACAAATCAAACTTAAACGTTAAAAAATAAAGCCTCATCAAGAATAGACCCTCGAGTTTATGGTTATTTTGGCTTATCTCCATTTAAAATGTGCTTAACAGATTATTCAAACACCTATGAACAGCCCAACGCCAGGGGTGAGAAGGTTATTTTGAACTCATCTCCATCTCACCATGAGCAAAGTAGCAGGTCTGACAGAAGAGGTTGATCCCAGTCAAGCACTCACAGAAGCATTTGAAAAAAAAAAGGAAGCGCTGATTTGTTTTCTCAGAATAGTCATTAAAGAAATTAGCAAATAACAATAATGTAATTTCCAAGTCCAAAATTTACAGAGGCTCTTGATTGGTAACAAAATAATCCAAGAAAGTTGTGAAAGAAGGGATATTTTTAATTACTTTTCAACCCATAACATAATTCTATAAATTCTATTTTTATTTATTACAAAAAAAAAAAATTTCTAGGCTAACATCATTCAGAGAATGAGAGTTACCTACAAAGTAGTTTTGCACACTGTCAACGTTGTTAATCTTCTCCGCCTGCCAGACGCACGGCTGCACTTTGATCTATTTTTCTCCTGTTCTGGTTGGAAACTTGAAATCACACTTTTCATTCCAAATCTTTGATCATGCAGACCCTCAGGAATCAACAAAGAGAATGGTATTCCTAGAAATAACTGCGGATGGTACAGAACATATCAGTTCCATTCAAACAATATAGCCTGCACTTGCAGTTCAGTTCACACTGAAGTTCACCTTTCAAAGGGGTCTCCCCTGTTCAAATGTAAAGGAGGATACACAGCCGCAGCTATTTTCTCCCTAAGATTGAATCTCTTTGCAATCACTGGCCTGACATCTTCAAATCCAACCAAGCTCACCAAAAATGGAAGTAGTAAAAGCAATTCTTGATCTGTATGGTCATCAAACCAGCTCTCAATTGGTATTCCATTGTCTACTTGGAACCCAAATGCCTTAGAAGAAAACCAACAAGCACATTGGTTAAATTTCAGTAAAAATGCTTATCATGTCTTCAAAGAGTGCACACCAACTTTAAGAACTTGACAAGGCTACATACAGTTTCAAATGCATGAGAATTTGTGCCATTATCAAGAAAGATCATTACATTGATCATGATATTTAGAGTGTTATTCACCGACAGGAGGAAAAATATCAGACTCCACACTCTTCAATTCTCAGTGTTCTTGGGCATGATCCCCAGAACCCCGTAGTATAGATGCCATCAGATAGACAAGCATAGGAAGGATTAAATTATACTCACTTTAAACTCTCCTTAAGAAAAATATTAACTGTCTGCCAAAAGACAGACTAAGAGTTCCACAAAGAGATTGCAACAATGGGTGTAGGCACCAATTTTGTTCTTCTTCTTCTTCTTTTATTATTATTATTATTATTATTATTATTATTCTTTAAAACAAAAGAAAAAAAAATAAAAAAAAATCTTTGATTTCAAGTCTAGCAGTCAAAATCAAGCTATCAGAGTAGTCTAAATTTCTCTATGACACTGTCTAACTTGGTAGCATAAAATCCGGTGACCAAAAGTCACCATATAGACCTTCAAATTTTTCACAAAATGATCCCAAAAGATTTGGGATCTTGAATTCCAAAAGCTCTATAAATAGAGCTAAGTTTTGCAAAAATAGGGAGAGAACCAAAAAAAAAAAGGGAAACACACAATAAAAAAAAATAGCAAACAAAAAAAAATTTTTTTTTCGAGAATAAAATTCTCGGGAGTTTGAGTTTTTTTGAAAAATCTAGGCTTGCAAAAGTGTTTAGAAAGCAAAAAAGATTATTGGGAAAATTTTTTTAGCTCGCTAGAATCTGAAAAAGTTTGAATTTTTCGACGATCGTTGAATTTTTCGACCATCGAAATTTGGGATTTTTGAATTTTTTGATGCCGTTGAAGTTTTCGACCACCAGTGCACGACGACGATCGACCGAAATCTGGGTTATCTCGACAGTCGACAAGGAGTTTTGGGATTTTAAAGAGAGGGGCTCTAAGGTAGAGAGAGAAAGGGGAAAAAAATATAAAAAAAAAAATTGAAACAGGCCTTTTATAGGCCATCCAAAACGATGCTGTTTTGGCCGTCTAGGCCAAACCCGACCCGCGCAGGATCCGCGCGTCGACCCAATCCGTTTCGTAGGTTTTTCCTTTTTTTTTTTTTCGTTTTGATTTTGATTTTTTTATGTTGATTTTTATGATATTGTTATTATTATTATTGTTATTTTATATTATTACTAATAATAATTTTTTAAAAAAATAAATAAATAAATAGAATAAAAATAAAGCTGAAATAAAATAAAGACCTAAAAAATGTAAATAAAAAATTTTTATAATAACAACCACTTAAAGGAAATAAAATTTTATCACAAGCAAAAATATTATTAAAATTTCACCAAAGTGTTAGGATAATTTTTAAAAAATTATTTTTGCTAAGTAAATAATAATAAAATATAAAATAAAAAAATAAAAATAAATTGTTTAGATGAATCTTCTAAATGTAATTTTTAAAAAAAGTTAAAAGAATTTAGTTTTCTTTAATTATTACAAGTAAAAATAATTTTTTCAGATTTTACCAAAGAGTTGGAATAATCCAAAATTATTTTTACTAGAACAAAGGTTGATTTAAACAATGTAAAGCAATAATAAAAATAAAAAGAAAAAATAATAATAATTGATATTTTAGATATTTTGATTTTCTTTAATACGAGCAAGTTATAAATATTTAGATTTTTTCAGTGATTCGGGATAATTTAAATTTTATAATAAAATAAAATAAATAAATTTTTTAAATCAATCTTTTAAATATAATCTTTAGAGAAAGTTAAAAGAGTTTAATTTTCTTTAATTATTACAAGTAAAAATAATTTTTTGAATTTCACCTTGGAGTTGGGATAATCCAAAATTATTTTCACTAAAATAAAGATTGATTTAAATAATGTAAAATAATAATAAAAAATAAAATTAATAATATTTGATATTTTGAATTTTTTAAAAAAATATAGAAAATTGAAAAAGTTCGATTTTCATTAACAAGAGATTAATATTTAGATTTCATTGGTGAGTCGAGATAATTTAAATTTTTTTTATAAAAAAATATAAATAATTAATAAATAATAAAAAGTTTTTTAAATAATCATAATAAAATTAATTAATAAATTCCTTTAATTATAAAAAAATGATTTTATTTAGGATCTTATCAAAAAGTTGAGATAATCTTAAAACTTGCTCAAAATTTTTAGGATTTCACCGAAGAGTCGAGATAATCATAAAATTTGTTTAATAAATTTTGGAAACTCACCAAAGAGTTGAGATGTTCTTATTTTTAAAAAAAAAAACAAATAAATAAAATATCTTATAACGAGATTTCAAGAATTTTGTGAATGGTCAATTTTTTCAAAATATTTTCTAAATAGTGATTCTCTATAAATTCCGCCAAAGCGTTGGAAATTTATAAAATAAAATAATAATAATAATACTAATTTTACAAAAAATATATTTTAAAATAAATTTCAGGAAATTAATTTTAAATAAAAAAGATTGTATTATTAAAATTAAAGGATTACACAGGTTTAATTGGTACCATTCTTTGAACGGGCGACGTGAGGGTGCTAATACCTTCCTCACTCGTAATCGCATTTTCGGACCTAACCCTGATTTCGCAGACCTAAACTTCTTTTAGTAATTCTTAATTAATTTTAAGATTTTTACTAAAAGATGATATTTTTTGGGTGGTCAATCACACCCTATAAAAGATTGGTGGCGACTCTGAAAAATTTTCACCAGGTCTAGCGATCAAGTCCTCCCGAACGAAAAATCATTATGACAGCTTGGCAATTCCACTGGGGGCTTGAGAGTCAAGCTAAAAATTAAACATGCGTCATCTAAATTTTGATTTTATGATCTTTTCGATATTTAATTTTAATTTCTTATCTCAACTTTGAATATTAATTTTTTTTTTATTTGGTTGTGATATGTTATTATTTTATTATTATTGCTAATTATTTGTTAATTTTATTTGTTATATTCCCTCACACACGTGCACATTTGCATTCATGCATGAGCTCTATACTTGAGCTCCCAAATATATCCCTTTTTAGGAGGGAGTAGAATACCTACATTTTTGTGAGGTTATAACGCATCCGCTTGGGCTAGCAAAATACTTTCACTCAAGTTGAACCCTTTCTGTTGACAGCCCGTTATGGGTGAGGATTGGAGACCTTACTAGTCCAAAGTGGACAACAATGAGGATTAATTTGAGAACCTTTTTAGCCTATGTTAATTACCAAACCATGTATATAGTGAAACTTAGGAAACCAACCTTAGATAGGACCAATCCATTTTTGTAGATTATACTTTGAATTAGGACACATGAGGGAATATTTATTTTAATATGATCACTAACCCTATTTTGTTTTGTTTTCCTTTTGTTTCATAATCATGCATCATCATAAACACTTACATATGGGATGTGCTTATCAATATGTCAATATCAGTAAGAAGATTTTCAGTCTTGCTTTGAAAACACCATCATGATGTTCTCAGCTTCAAAGCCCACTATGTGTGAAGAGACCAATGTGGTGATAACTTTATTATTAGAAGCCCAAAGTAGAATGGGAGATTGTTTGAAAAAATCTGAACAAGAAATTTTACCCGAAGAAGTCAAATTGGGACTTTAACAAAATGACATCTCTGAGTTGGTCAAGATCTGGCGTCGAGTAACAACTTCTAGGAAAATGGCTTTCGAGAAAAAATATGATCATATTGCTTTACTACTTAAGGTATTTACGAAAAATCAGTTGATAAGAGCTTTAATTCAATTTTGGGACCCTGCATACAGATGTTTCATATTCAATGAAATAGATATGACCCCGACGATCGAAGAGTATACTACATTGTTATGGTTGCATCTCCCCAATCCAGATAAAATCTATTAACGAGGTCAAAAACTTGGAATTTCGAAAGAAACTTGCTTGTATGATGAAAGTCCCCACTCAGAATGTGAACTCATATATCCAAACAAAAGGTAAAAGCGATTGCATCTTATGGGAAATCTTACGTGATTATATCATCAAACACTTAGAGGATGAACAAGGCATGAAAATGATAGCTTTGGCAATTTATGGCTTGATCATTTTTTGGAAAGTCCTGCGACACATTTGAGGTATCAGCGATTGACTTTCTCAAGCAGGTGAACATAAAATCAATCATGTTCTTCTATATTGGCAAAACCTTTAGATTATTGAATCATTGTCGAAAAAGAAAAAAGACGCTTCATAGGGTTTATACAATTACTCTATATTTGGGCAAAAAGTCATCTTCAACATCCCGTGGGTAATTTCATCCTACTTATAATAATAAAAGTAGGCCAATTGAAGAATGATGCAATGTTGAGTGGCCAGAATCAATGACCAAGGAAGAATGGGTATTGATTTTGCAAGATCTCACTAGTGCTCAAGTTATATGGAGAGCTCCATGGATGCCACGAGAAGCCATATTATACAGTGTGGTGACAAGCCATGGGTTCCATTTTAGGACTATGGGGAAGTATAAGCTATGCTCCAACACTAGCTCGTCGACAATTAGGTCAGAGTAATTTGTCCCAATGACTATAGGGCTTCAAGAATTGGAATTCTCTTTTGAGGAATCAAGATTTTTAAGAAAGATAAAAGAGATTATCAGAAGTGGAAGCAGACTAAAAAGAGTAGATCATAGGGACATACAGACAAAGCCACACTTGAATATCTTATATGGAGAAGTCAACGGGTCACAAGCAAAGTTGGTCCTAAAGAAAACAGACCATGCCACCAAAAAGACACCCATTGTGAAAAGATTCCTAAGGATATGAAGATTATGAAGCGTAAATTTGAAGAAGAAAAAGAAATATGAGAGCTTGAAAAGAAGAGGCTTTAGCATGAGATTAATGAGTGGAAAGACAAGACTGATAAGAGTGAAGCAAAATCTTGAAGGCTTGAAAAAGAACAAGAAAATATTTCTAAAAGCTAGCATAAGTCCATCGCCATAATAACTACAGAGCTTGAAAAATCTAAAAAAAATACAGAATAATTTCGGTCTAATTTATTATCTAAGAAAAAAAAGCT